GTTTTTCTTGCAATGCATATACAAATAAAACTTATAACCGTTATTTTAAAAACTAAAAATTGTTCATGTCATTGATGTACTCATTAGCAAAGCTTGAAGTGCAAAATCAAAGCAAGTAACATATGTTTAAAACTTCACAATAAATGCGCAACTGTTCCTTGAAAGTAATTGTTTTGCCACCATCAATTCAATGATCATTTTAACATGTAGCAGGATGCATTTTATGTTACTTACAATGTTGGTTAATAAAATATCATGTAAATTTGCTATAATGAACTCCTTCAAACATGTCACTAGAGCTATAGTGATTATTTAGCTCGTAGCCGACTAGCCGCTAAATATATTGTCCAGCTGTGTTAGTGTCAGATTATTAACAAATTTATTATAAAATAACTATAATCCTTTTTCCAAAGTAAATTGATTACAAAGTATCCAGAGCAATGTTGTTATCCACAGTATTGCTACAATTGTATTTTTTGGCCTGCTAGGCATAAGTTTTTTGGAAATGAAAAATATTCTTAATTAGTAAACAATGCCTAAATCCTACCATTCAAGAAGCGAGGTGCAAACCATATGACATGTTTCTTGTTTGATATATATCTGCGTTTATAAAAGGTTACTTTATCATCAAATGTTTTCAATATACTTAGACCTATAAGAACATCATTTTTCTTGTTAATCGCGAATTGAAATGAAGTAATTATTCATTTAAACGATAATATTCAGTAAAATCTGACATCATCGAGACACGATCAATTAAGTAAAAAAGGCCTTGATTCGGTCAACTTCTTAGGTAAATATACACAATTTTTTATCATAACATGAAACTAATTTCGATGATAGTAACACCCTTGTATATATAAACTACTGGTACATGCAGCATAGAAATAATATTCCGGATAGATAATACGAAATTGGATGTACCTAGAGCAATTACTAATAACATATGAACCTGGTTTAAGTTAGGTGTATGTACATTATATTAAAATCGCAACTGAGTAAACATTTTTTGTCTTGAAAAGTGCCGGACTGCGCAATAAGCATGTGAAACCATGTATATAATTTCCATAATTATTGATTACGAATTGAGGGAATAAAACGTGGCTAAAGGGAGAGCAGGTGTAGGGCAGGTTCAGGGCCGGGCTGGCCCACGCTGTATCCCACGCTAACGCTCGCGCGCATTTGTCCGACCGGTGATCGAGGAGTATTTTGGATAGAGTTGAAGCATTAGAACTTGATATTACTCGGAAAATAATTTAAACGCCCTGACAAATCCGGTAGGTTGTAAGTTCATAGCTGGAGTCTCACTTTTGGTAATGAGAAAGTCAAGAGAGTTATCAAAATTTTAGCCGGTCTTTCTTAGATTAATTAACATTATTCAATTAATGATAGGGTTGAGGTAAGGGAATCCATGTCAGCGGCATTTGGAACGATGGGATTCGTAATGACAGAAATTTAAGTTGCAATGTATGATCTCGTACATGTCAAATTTGCATAAAAATGCAGTAACGGGACTATTTTCTAAAATTCAACTGAAACGTTTTGATCGATTCTGTGACCCGTTAGTCGTTACTGTTAGCCGCAAGGTCAATTTTGAATGTACGAACAATATAGCTAGAGAATATCAACACAGTATCAGGTTAGCTTTTCAAATGAAAATATTCCGACTATATGCTGATGTAATTAGTTGGAGATTCTTTCATATGAAGTGAGTAGTACACGGTAAAAAATACTTGAATAGAACAAATATTAGAGGGCAGTCAACATCTACCGGCAAGAAAAACTCATCAACTCTCAACTCTGTGTTAACGGGTGATAGGAAGAGTTGGCAACACTGAGAAGCCTAGAAGGTAGAGGTACGCGTTGAGTTAGGTGTATAAAATACAGGGGTTAGGCAAATAAAGGGAAACGCCTGACGGCCTGAGAAATCTACAAAATATATTTTGGTATGGGGTTATTGGCCATATTGGGGCCTATGGGTATGGGGTAGTAACGGTAGTTTAACCTTGTGCCGCTATTACAGCCTCAACTTGGTGAGGCATTGATTCTTACACACTGTGAATTGTTTCCAAAGTAATTTTAACATATTTTTCAGTTAAAACTCACAGCTCGGAGCTTTTTGTGAAGCTCTCAGGTCTCAGCAGTCAGCAGATTGTCTTCATTGAAACTGGGTTCTGTAGGTGTTCATTGATCATTGAGGTTTACACTTAACAGTTTGCAGTAAATTTAATAGCCGTGTTCTTTTGATTGTTCCTCACAATTGATACAACCATAGTGACAAACCAGAGATATTTTAGAATCAGTTCATTTTTAATTTCCTCATTTACCCAAGATTTAAACCAATTTCTTATGTATGATGATGCTGCCCATGCTGGTATCCACTATCCAGGATACTTTACTGGTTTACTTTATACTTATACAGTTATACTATAGGACTCAAAAATGAACTTGAAGTTGAGGGAGAGTCTAAAAAACTCTCTGCTTTGCCACTATGCCAATAAAACATACAAGTAGGGTAAACGCGGTATATTCCGACATCGTGGGTAATTCCATCACCTCTCTAGTTTTTCCTTTATATTAAGCTTTGTTTTAGTTCCATGCGTTCGTTAATGGTTGAAATGGTGACGTCATACATTTGAACGTCGAACTAATGACAAAACACTAGGTCTTGACCATCTAGCGGGAAAATATTGAGATCCAAAGAGCGACAATGCACGCTAACCAGTGAGATCATCGAAAAATGTGTCAAATTTGACAGTTGACCTTGCTCTACCAAATAGTGAATAACTGTTTGTATAGGAAGAATATTATGGTTTGAGACTTTTAAATATGTCTGTAAATATATTAGGAATCCTTCAAGTATACTTGTATTCGCTGATTTCAAGTGGTAAATAAATTAATAGATGCTTAAGTTGAGAAATGGATTTAGACACATGAAAACTAATTCCGTCACAACTTGAATTGGACACACACAGATCCTTCCAAGCTATGTACAAAAATTAAAATTTGCTTAGTTGAAAGCTTAATAGTTGTTAATTAAAAGCGTAATTAAGTAGTGTTCAAAATTCATTAGTGTTCTAATTCAAAGCCGTGTTGTATTCCAATACAGCTCAAACGTCTGTGAATATATTAGGAATCCTTCAAGTATACTTGTATTTGATGATTTCAAGTGGTAAATAAATTAATAGATGATTAACTTGAGAAATGGATTTAGACACATGAAAACTAATTCCGTCACAACTTGAATAGGACACACACAGATTGTTCCAAGCTATGTACAAAAATTTAAATTTGCTTAATTGAAAGCTTAATAGTTGTTAATTAAAAGCGTAATTAAGTAGTGTTCAATATTCATTAGTGTTCTAATTCAAAGCCGTGTTGTATTCCAATACAGCTCACACAGCGAACGGAATTTGAACACGTGGATGACGGCATTACGTATCAGTAGAATTTGAAGCGCGGACGGAATACGCCTCACCACGTGCCGAATATTGCCACACACAGTGTCGGAATATAGGGATTTGGTAGGTTTGCATTCTAAAGGCTTTTAAATAAATATGGCAACATTTTGTGACGTTTCATCATTACTGGCGCGTAGTACGGTGTTTTGCGAGTCACATAAAGCAAACAGAACTTGAGTAATGCATAGTGTCATTTTTATAGTTTTTCATTTCTCGATGCGTCCTTAATGTGTTGGAATATACCGCGTTTACCCTACCAATGGTCTCTCTCACTCTCAGACAACATTTACATTGATTTTTGGCCAGACTTGTCACTTGTGCTTGGCTGAGGACATTTATCCTTCTCTTTCAGAGCAGTCTTTACTTTTGAGGCAGCACCTCTAGAAATGTCAAGCTTCAAAAAAAAAAATATACAAAAAATTTCTCATTAATACAGAGAAATAAAGGACTAATTGGTGACATAGTGTTACTTGTATGTTCATATCACATTTGTTTAATGGACAATTTGATGTCAAACATGTTTCTCATTCTCAACTCTCAAGCAATATGACAAGCATGGCAACTTTACAAGTGAGATGTTGCCAGAGGAAAATTAAGCAACTTGCTGAGTGCTGAGTTTGTTTCAGACTGATCAATTTGTCTATTATTGTGTTTCTTCCACTTAGGCCTTATCTCACTGAAGACCATTTGTATAATACTGGTCCAAAGTCAGAACTACAATTTCTAGTCATAGAATAGAATAGAAGTGTCGGCGTTGAAGAAATAGGCCCATGGCCTGAGTAACAAAGACCATCACTTTTTTTGAAATTACATCAAAACTATGAGAGGCAGGAGCCAGCAATTTATGGTGAGTAAAGCTAGAGTATAGACCTGAATTTTGCACGTTTCAATTTAAGTTTAACTTATCTAGTAAAAAATGGCATCATTTAAAAAAAAAAGTGGTCAAAGTTACCCCATTTTACAGTAGTAAAAATGTTGAAGTTTATGCCACTATTTTTACTTTTGCAATATTTTGATTAGTTTAGCTGCTACAACATTTCTACGAAATGTGGGACGCATGTCCTGATTTACCCAGCCCGTCCATTTTATCCCGTTTGACGGTATTTGATCATTTAACTGAATCATCATTCTTTACTCAGTTTACTGCATACAAAGTTTATTACCAAGTTAAAAAATAGGGATTTTTCTAAATGTGTGAATAATATTTTTCATTGTTTACATATCCTTTGGATAAATTTTTCTTTGGATGAAATTCGATGAATCGATTCATAATTTGCAAGGGACTTAAGGATAATATCTTCATAAAAGATGAAGGATCACTGTAATACTTACTGTTTTCTGAGAACTAGCAGCTCTAGCTCTAATTATTAATATAAAATTTTTATACAAGTTGAATTTCTTAGGATTTTTTATTTATGTTCTATGAAATATTTTTTGGGTTTACATAGATGTATTTCAGTTCAGTTTGACATTGCTTTTTTGTAAATGTTATTGTTATGTGCAAACTTGTGTGTTTTTTGTACTCTAACTTTATTTTCTCCTAGCAATCTACTGGAGAAAAGCGGGATGGTGGAGGCTTCAGAGGCGGCTTTCGTGGTGGCCGAGGCAGGGGCATGAGAGGAGGAGTTGGCCCCATGAGGCTTGGCGGGAGAATTGGGATGCGACCTTCTCCTTACGACCACATGCCAGTTACTGACAGATATGGGGGACCTCCCATGCCTCCTATGGCTGATAGGTAATGAGTGAGGGCAGCATCAGAAACCTTGCTGTTTTTATTTCTTATTAGCAGTTTCTTGGCATTAAATGTGTACAAGAATAGTCTCACTTTTTTTAGTTAGATCAAATGTGAAGTTTGTGCATGTGATTTAAGATTTTTTTAGGTTTATATATATTGTCTCAAAAATATATTGTCTCAAAAATAATCAACTCTGCCTCTACCATTTGATCCTAAAAAATGTTAAATTTACAAATTTTTGTATAATTAAAAGTAAAATCAAACCATGCAAATAATTAGAAGTTGAATATTCATGTATATATAGGTATATGTAAGCCATCCATATTGATTGGTGTAAATAAGTAAATATATGATCATCTTGTTCACACAAGCAATCATGTTGAGAGATATTGTTGAATATTTTGTTGAGACTTTTTGACAAGAGAATATTTTGTTGAGACTTTTTGACAAGAGAATATTTTGTTGAAAATTTTGAATCACTTAGCAGTATTTTGTGAAACAAAAATTTGTCTGAATTCACATGTTGAAAACATGATCTTTCAATTAACCAAAATATCGACTGCCTTCATTGCAAACTCCAAATTTAATTTCTTCTATAAAAATACTTCAACTAAATATATTCTTCAATGGTGAGAATTATTAGTCTTTGCATGTGTACAGGATGCCAGCAAGTCAACTGTTTAGCTTAATTTTTTGAAAATGAAAACCTACATAGTAAAAAATGAACCATCCACCAAATGTCAGGTATTAAAGTGTAAATATAAGAAATTGCTGGAAAGCATTAGCAAACAAGTGCAAATCTTCCTTGTTTAAAAAACATGGTGTACTGAATGTGCAATTTAAGGCTGAGAATTTTATGGAAATAAGATCTATGCTTAAATTGGGCTTGAATTGACTGGATTCATGTGTCTGAAAACCTGTGCATCTGATACATTCGTAAAAATTTAGAAAAATGTAGGAAAGAGTTTTGGTGTCTAGTTAGATGAATTGATGTCTAGTTGAAATTTTTTCTGTTGATCAGTGCTCAGCCAACGAACTTGAATTTAAAAAGTAAATTATGACCAGTAATAAATTTTGGTACGGTACAACACAACCTTCTTTATTTCTCTTGTATCCACAAGGAGAAAACTGATTTTTTATAACGAAGAATGGAAGTCCTTAACAATGCAACTTTGCAGGTATGGTCCGCTACCGCCACCCGCTCCTCGCAATAGCTACTACGACGACTATGACGAGTCCCTAAGACGACCTCTGCCTATGGAGCGCCGACCTCTTCCTCCTCCCAGGGACCCCTACATGCGGGATCCCTATGATCGATATGATCCCTATGACCGCATCCCACCGGCTCCTCGATCTGCAGTGCTGATGGAGCGCAGGATCGCCCCGCTTCCTTATGACCGACGCCCTGATCCATATGCTGATCTTTACAGGGAGTGAGTGAAAGCTACTGTGAACATCTATTTTTTTTCTTGTTTCTTTTAACTCACAGTTTAAATCAAGCTGCTTTCATAGGAGCCTCTGAATATTTTGAATTCTTTTATGTCCAGTAAGTGATTATCGTGTCTACCGCGAACATGATAAACATGAATTTGATTGATCAAGACCTCTAGAGTATGACGAAAAAATAATATTCTCTGGCAGATTTGATTTTTTCATATACCATGAGTGTGCAGAATTATTCTGTATCACCAAGTGTTTTTTCTCTCCAGTGACATGCATATTGACTCAAAATATTTACCGAGTATTAACTATCAACTGTATTAATAGCATGAAGATTCAGGCTGATTCACCTTCCTGTTAATTCGGTCACAACCGCAGAGAATTTTGTTTTATATTACCTCAATTAATCTCACTCCCTAACGTTCTGGATAAAAGGTTTTTATCTTTCTGAGAGCGGTAAAAAATGTTATAGAGATCTACGGTTTAGTATTTTCATTAGTCTTATTATCTTATCATTTTGCCACTTTTTGTTATGCTTCTTTTGTCCAATACCTTTCACAGGCCATCAGATTGCATTACATTCGTTTTTTCATGATGATAATGTAATTGATTCTTCTAGAACTCAGGTATTTTTATTATTGTTTAAATTTTGTGTTCGAATGCGAGTATGATTTTCGTGTTCCCCAAAATGATTAGAATATTCATGTATATATAGGTATATGTAAGCCATCCATATTGATTGGTGTAAATAAGTAAATATATGATCATCTTGTTCACACAAGCAATCATGTTGAGAGATATTGTTGAATATTTTGTTGAGACTTTTTGACAAGAGAATATTTTGTTGAAAATTTTGAATCACTTAGCAGTATTTTGTGAAACAAAATTTGTCTGAATTAACATGTTGAAAACATGATCTTTCAATTAACCAAAATATCGACTGCCTTCATTGCAAACTCCAAATTTGATTTCTTCTATAAAAATACTTCAACTAAATATATTCTTCAATGGTGAGAATTATTAGTCTTTGCATGTGTACAGGATGCCAGTAAGTCAACTGTTTAGCTTAATTTTTTGAAAATGAAAACCTACATAGTAAAAAATGAACCATCCACCAAATGTCAGGTATTAAAGTGTAAATATAAGAAATAGCTGGAAAGCATTAGCAAACAAGTGCAAATCTTCCTTGTTTAAAAAACATGGTGTACTGAATGTGCAATTTAAGGCTGAGAATTTTATGGAAATAAGATCTATGCTTAAATTGAGCTTGAATTGACTGGATTCATGTGTCTGAAAACCTGTGCATCTGATACATTCGTAAAAATTTAGAAAAATGTAGGAAAGAGTTTTGGTGTCTAGTTAGATGAATTGATGTCTAGTTGAAATTTTTTCTGTTGATCAGTGCTCAGCCAACGAACTTGAATTTAAAAAGTAAATTATGACCAGTAATAAATTTTGGTACGGTACAACACAACCTTCTTTATTTCTCTTGTATCCACAAGGAGAAAACTGATTTTTTATAACGAAGAATGGAAGTCCTTAACAATGCAACTTTGCAGGTATGGTCCGCTACCGCCACCCGCTCCTCGCAATAGCTACTACGACGACTATGACGAGTCCCTAAGACGACCTCTGCCTATGGAGCGCCGACCTCTTCCTCCTCCCAGGGACCCCTACATGCGGGATCCTTATGATCGATATGATCCCTATGACCGCATCCCACCGGCTCCTCGATCTGCAGTGCTGATGGAGCGCAGGATCGCCCCGCTTCCTTATGACCAACGCCCTGATCCATATGCTGATCTTTACAGGGAGTGAGTGAAAGCTACTGTGAACATCTATTTTTTTTCTTGTTTCTTTTAACTCACAGTTTAAATCAAGCTGCTTTCATAGGAGCCTCTGAATATTTTGAATTCTTTTATGTCCAGTAAGTGATTATCGTGTCTACCGCGAACATGATAAACATGAATTTGATTGATCAAGACCTCTAGAGTATGACGAAAAAATAATATTCTCTGGCAGATTTGATTTTTTCATATACCATGAGTGTGCAGAATTATTCTGTATCACCAAGTGTTTTTTCTCTCCAGTGACATGCATATTGACTCAAAATATTTACCGAGTATTAACTATCAACTGTATTAATAGCATGAAGATTCAGGCTGATTCACCTTCCTGTTAATTCGGTCACAACCACATAAAATTTTGTTTTATACTACGTCAATTTTTCTCAATCCCTAACGTTCTGAATAAAAGTTTTTTTTTTCATTCTGAGAGCGTTAAGAAATGTTATAGAGTTCTACGGTTTAATATTTTCATTAGTCTTATTATCTTATCATTTTGCCTTTTTTGTCTAATACCTTTCACAGGCCATCAGATTGCATTACATTCGTTTTTTCATGATGATAATGTAATTGATTCTTCTAGAACTCAGGTATTTTTATTATTGTTTAAATTTTGTGTTCGAATGCGAGTATGATTTTCGTGTTCCCCAAAATGATTGGATTGTGTTGGCCGCAATGTTTCCTTCATTTGCGTCACTACCGTCAACTTTTGTAGGCGAAACAGAACTTTACATTCAAGGGGATTAGCAATGAGTGCAGGAGGATTTCATTCAGGTTATCAAAATTCACATAGTTGACATTACTGGTTTTTGCCAAAATATTTAGGAATAAATCATGTAATTTTAAAATATTTATATCACAAAATGTAACAGTAACATTATTTTCAGACGCGATCCCTACGCGCCCCGAGACCCCTACGCCATCCGTCGCTCCATGAGTCCACGACGGTGAGCTTTCATTATGTTCGCAAATTTTCCAAAACGATTTACTTTGAAATCAAGCTTGTTTGTATGAATGTTAGTTTGGCCAATCGTACAGTAAAAAAGATACTCGTATCGGTTGCTATTGCAGTTTTAGTGCTGGCTCATTTTTAGTGTTCGTTTCAATGATTTCATGAATAAATTCATTACCAATAGTCTTAATTTCATGAATAAATTCATTGACTTATTATTCCGACTGCGTGCTTCTTGGCTTGAAAGAGAGGATGTTGTTTGACGTGTGATTGTTATGACTTTTGTGAGAGCTCCATCTTTCTTGGCGAGTAGAATGGATCGAAAATATCAGAGAAAGTCAATTTTGGTTAACAAATTATCGGAACTGCATTGAACGGAACTCCACGAAATTTTATTTCTTGTATATTCAACGGAGGGAAATGTTTTTTCACAACAATTAATTTGGAAGACGTTGTACCAACCGTCCTGAAAATTCTTTTGCTCATTCTAAACAAAGTAAAGATACGTTTGCCTTGGTGAACGCATAATAGATGTAAATTTCAGCTTTGATTGTGAAGCACAGTACATTTTTTGCTGAGCTTAGGTCACTGGTATGCGTGGTAATGAAATATTTTGAAGCGGTTTGCTGCCTTGAGTGACCAAGTATTATTCTAGAACACTATAGCACTACAAGTACTATGAACACATTCATTTAATTAATTTTGGTTGGGCAATCTTTTGTTCGTGTTACGATTTTCTGTCTTCGAAATTCTGTGTCGATCATTGCTCCTCAATGTTAAGTATCTTCTCTATGTCATTTCTTCGCGGTTTTTTTTTTTCATTTTTCTGTGATGTACTTTGCGGTGTGGGCGAAAATGTTGCGAATCTCGTCTTTTGGGACCCAATGTCAACGTTATCTCCAGCAGCCGTCATCAAGCTAATGCTATTGTGTACAATAATTGTCATTAATCATTTCTAGAAACTGCTGCAGTCAAACACGTCAGTAGTCCCGTACAGTTAGATAGAATTAACTAAGTCCTAAATGCCCGGTGCGTTATTTACAATCTTGGCGTGCGCACGCTCGTAAACGACAAAAGTCAATCATACAGAAAGATGTATAAGACGAATAATATTGACGCTTTTTTTCTCTAGCTATGCCGGTCCTCCTCGGGACTTGCCTCCGGCACCACCCCGACGATTTTAAGTTCCATCTCGCTCGCCCTGACCATCGAAGTACTCTAAGCCTGGGATCTCGATACCTAATGTCGTCTTAAACTTTTTCGGCGTACCTTACCCATGCCATGAGTCGTAAACTAGACATGGAACTCTATTTATTCGGCGTATTGCTAGCATAGGTAGTACCGTTTCAATTCACCGCCTATGTATTATTATTTCCAGATACTAGTACTTCGCTGTATTATAGAGCTGATTAAGGGCGACCGCTAACATTGTGTTCTTTGAAATCCCGTTCCTCATCTGAGCCACTTAGCAATCGAATTCTCGTTTTCTTTAAATGTAACTAGATTCCATGAAAGGAGTTTCCATCAGATCCTCAATATCCATGTGCTAGGATATAATGCTTAATCACTAATGAAGTTGCCTTCGCATGAATACGGCAAAGAAATTCAGGGTACGAAACTCCAGCAGATAGTTAGTTCCAGCAGTTAGTGCGCGTTTCCAGCAGATAGTTCTAGCTATCGTTTTAAAGTTGGAGTTCTCAGGAGGAATATTTCGATATAATTTTCTAATTAAATTTGTTTTCATCACGAAATTTACTCTCTATGATGGGCGGTAAAGAAGTTCTTGTTGATCGATTCGTTGGTCCTATTCAATACTCGCTCCTGGCATTGTCCAAGGGCCTGATAGAGCTTTACTGTACAAGGACACAAATCAGGTTACGATCAATGAATTTGCACTTCCGTAAATTTACGATGGAAAAATGTTCTCGTATATAGCGTTATCTCTTATCACAAGTATTCTGTTTAGAAATGTCGTGTCCTAAGTTATATGACATGCTGTCGTCTTAAATTCATACTGAGCTGTCTCTCTTGGAAAACTTTCTGTTTAACACTAATGAGCGTCAAATGTTGTTCATACTATCCGTACTAACTTTAGCAACGCCGAGCGTAAATCTGGGTTACGAACAAAGCCTCAATTTTATATATCAATCGAAGATAATTCTTGCTATAACTCATGTTTTATATGCGTTAGTTACCTCTAGTGATGAGACGACATTAGCAAACAAGTTTAATGCAGACAATGCTAGACCTGACTTGGGTTACAGGCGCTCAGACATTTATTTCAAATTATCGGTTTTTCATTATTCGTGCAATGAATCCGTTTTCTTCTTGATAGAGATCTTTGGTAGTTTTGTAGACGCCACTTGCTCATCGTGCTTAGGGACTCGAAATGGTTAAACCTTAATTTCTGCTAATACGAGCACTTGGTTAATTTTCACAAGCTCATCGAAATCACCCCGGAATGTATTTATATACTGGCCGTTAATTTTCATGATAATTTGTTACTACAATTGTAAATTTGACTATTTTCTCGATGTATCTACGAAATATGATGAAGTTCTGAGATTTTGTCCTTCATTGTTATGACTTGTAGCGAACTTACCGCCCGTAATATGTAGTCGATGTTGCGATGTTCGCCTTCTCATAAATCATTGTTAGGTACGTCTAAAACTCAATATTAATTTTACCCGAAAAATGACCGTTAATTTCATTAACTAGCTAATTATCTGAAATTCTGTACGATGATCGGTATGAATTTAGTTTTAACTTATCACTTATCCAAATCAGTCTGCTCTCGTTATAGTGTTAACAGATTCCGATCGTTTTTTTTTTTTCATTGTAAATTCTTAGCTTTGTGATGTATTAAATTACCGATAATGTAATTCTCAAACTTAATTAATCGAACAGAATATTCCCACTCGCTCATATTTCTCTTGTTATGTCTACGAGTTAGTGTAACCTATTGATCCGTATATCTTAAGTGCTATCTAATTAATTGTCTTCGATATCCCGTGAATATTGTTCGTCACTCCATAACTCGATTAATGACAACCGGCTTACTTCGTGCCAATGTCACTTCTAGATTCGATCTAAAATTAAGATAGGCTAGTGGTGTGGTAGCTTTAGTATGTGTGTATCAGCTCGCAATAAAAGATTGATGTCCGACAAGTTTTGTATCACAAGTACATGTCGCCGCGTGGTGACATCAGACCGAAGTCAAATGCTAAGCTGAGCACTGGATCGTGCGAGCTACCCGGAGATTCGCGAGAACCAACTATGGCGTTCTTTTGAACAAATCGATCTTAGTTCACACCGCTTAGCGGGAAACTGAAGGTAAGACTGTGACCTCGCGAGAGGTTCATATTGACGCGATGCTGCTTCCCTTCTACCTTTATGCTTCAGTTAATCCGAAATTTTGATGCATTTGAAAGAGTACTTCGCTGTGTTATGTTGCCGTTTCGTTGAGCGTCTTTAGTCACTTATCTAAAATATTTTTCAAATTCGAGTCATTCGTGCGCGTGTTTGGAATATTTTTGTTGTTTTTTTTTTTCCATCCGTCAAGTGCATAAAGTTTGCTGTAATTGATGTGAGCAGGCGTCTGCTAATTCTCCTTTCTCTTTCCACAATCCGAATTTTCATCTGGCGCCCCTCAATATTTTTTTGGTTTTCGTTGTCGCTTTTCTGTTGACACGGAATGACCTCATTGTGGAACTTTACTCTCATGTATCGTTAAAAATCATTTGTGCTATTCTTACCTTTTATTAACTTTTGTTTTTATCTGCTCTGTACCCTTTCGAATTTTTTAATCATTGCATGAAACGTGGTTGTTTTAAATAATTAAATTAGCCTATAGCGACAGTATTCATGCGTTTCCAATCTGACGGCATTCAGCCAATAACGCATAGGTTCCTAGGAGAAACGAATGAGAAATGCTACCAGATTTTTTTTAAATACGACAACGAATCTAGTAGTCAATGGACTGGCTAATCGGCTTCAAATTAAAATTCGCGTGGGTTAATTTTTTTATTTGTTATTTTTTTGTGTAGTCACGATTTTTCCACTGAGGAGTGACTAGCCACTTGTGTAAACGTAATTTCGCTTAATAACATCAAATATTAATCAAAGTTTTTCAGAGGAGCGTTGGTTTTTTTTTCTTTGCCTTGCTTCACTTAATCACTCTTGTTGTTTAATGTCTAATTACTATCTGTGTATTAGGTTCAACTTGGAGACGAACCATGAGCGAGGCGTTACCACTTGAAGTCAGTCCTCGAGCTGCCATCAGGATGGATCTCATAAACTTGAAGTTTCAAAGAACGACTAAAATGCTTCAGCAGCAACGATGCGGCTCAGTCAGCTTCTTCATCAAAACGATTCTATTATCATGAAGTTCCTGAGGATCTGCTGGCGAGGTGAGAACTGCTGACTTAAGTGCTATAAAGTCGGATATTTTTTATCGCTGTGTTGAGACCTTAGGATGGAAAGTGAATTAATTACTTGTTCTCGGCTCCTGTTTATTGTGTACTCGTTGCATTAAATTCTGATTGATTCATGAGCTCTTGGCGGGGTTTGTATTTATGTCGAAATTTTTTTTTCTCTTATCGAGTCTAAACTCGCTTCTGTATTTGCTGATTAGCAAAATTAAACATTCTCATTTCTTCCTCATAAGCGCCTAAACTTCATGCATTTTTCTATAAAGGAATTTTTCCTATTTGGATGAGGGGATTAGTGCTATTTGTGCTTATTGCAAGGAAAATACCGTGATTAAAAATGCGCCTAGACCAGTGTTGAATATAGTAATTGATCAGTTGTTTTCTGCCACAGGGCACCAATGAGCCTCCGGCTGTCGGTACCACTCTTCGTTCTTCTTACGAGTTGATCCGAGGAGAAGATTTCCTTGCTTTGCAGTGCTCAAAGTACCAAGACACTAGAGTATACTCGCCACATCATAGTCTCTGTGATAATCTCGAGTTCTCTACCGGCAAGTTCCAATGTATCTTACTTCTTTACTTGTGGTGAAGTCACTGTGAACTTTCTAGTTTCCTTAATATTTGTTTGGGACGTAGCAGTCCCAGGCCACGATGGATCGCCGCTTCTGGATCGCTTCTGTGAATGATGTAATTGAGCATCGCACTATTGTTACACTAAAGATGATTATTAATTTATCACTGATCACTATCATTCTTACAAATAAATTACATCTTCTGGACCACGTTGACCTGCCCCCGAGTGGTATTTTCATCTCTGTAATTCGCTCTGGAGTGGAGTCCAATCTCTAATCCGTGAGGTATCGTGAAGGAACCTTACTTTACAGGACCACCAACATTTTTAACAAAATGTAGTGTGCACTCGCTACGCCAATCTTTACTAAAATAAGACTAATTATGTTCATTGCCGTGGAGATTAAGAACGCAAATTACATGTCTACTGTTAGTAACAATATTTTAGCAGGATTGAGGTACGAAAGGCTTTGACGGCGGGTGTTTCCGTAAACAAATTTATAATGCTAGCAATTTAAGAGATGTACAGCTGTCATTTTGTTCACGTCACAATTTCTTTTGCGTAGTCATGTTAATTTTGCTTTCAATCTCCATTTGTTCCTAGTATTTATATGAAATATTATCTGCACGCTGAACAAATTCGGCTCTTCTGTTCACTTTCCTAACGATGTATATTTCTTGCACCGAATTTCTTTAGAATAATTTTCCCCGTTTAGATTTTATTTACCGCCTTCAGTTTTGATAATCTTTAAACAACATAATCCCAAACCATACTGCCTTGCCCTATATACCACCTATGGCCATGGCTGTTTACCGCTTACGATGTTACTCGTGGCTATCACGTGTTGACATTTCTTGTAGTAATTTAAGATTTCTTCCCGTTTGTCGATATTTAGATGAAATATGGAATTTGTTCAAGTTTAATTGAGGTTTCGCTACCTGAACTACACTCTGATTTGCTCCGTCTTTTGCTTGAATCGATGGCTATTGTTTATTTTGGACGGCGAATATTTTTGTTTGTTTATCTTCTATCACCTTGTCATTACCTTCATATTCTGCTGCCCTGTAATTCTTGGCTGATGTTAACTCTGCCTCTGTCAATTATCAATTGATCAAAATAAATCCAGGAACAAAAATTGTGTAATTTTGTCTCTTTTTTTACCCGTATATGAACCGACCGATACGCGCACGTTATGCAGTGACCTTGAATAATTCTGAGAACTCTGTTTATTTTGGAAAAACTTTTTAGCTAAAGGATTAGCAGAACTGTTGAAGCTCAAAATATATTGCACTTTTCCATCTAACTTGAAGCATAGTTTCGATTACTCAAGTTCGAATTTCTCTATGGATTTTGTGCTCTATAGGTTTCATCCTCTATATGTGCAGTTGAATACAGTTCACTGTTCAGGATCCGCATGAAATATACAGTCTAAAATGTGATTGGATTTTAATTTGGTGATGATATTTATTTGAACGTATCAATTCCTCAAACACAATGTTTAAAACTTTTGAATAAGCAAAGGATTTTGGAAAATCACAAGATCGTGAAATTAGACGTGGATAGTAGTTTTCAAATGGATATTAGCTAGTTTCTATCACCTAATCCAATCTTTCGACCAGCAAAAATGTAAAATTAAAATACTGAATTGAAAATAAATGTTTAACTTGAGGTGCACTCTCAATTGTCGTAAATTTACAGATAATGAAAAAAAAACTAATTCGAAATTTGTCTTGCACCTAACAAAAAGTATAGTTCAGCAGTACCCAACGGGAACCGGGAAAGAGTTCATGCCATCTTCAATTAAGGTTTACTTAAACTCCAACAACCGCATGTGATACCAATAATTAGGTGACGATGAGTATTTTGTAAGCTAATGACTTCACTTTGAGAAACTTTCTGGTAACATAATACATGTTTCTGTTCTATGTCTGATAGTGATACGTAACTGACGCTGAGAGCAACAAATTTCTGGAATCGTGTCAAGTAAGTAAGCACAAATTGAATGCGCTACACCTATAATAGACTACGCTCACATTTACTTCGTACTCCGATCAGGATTTGTATGATTATCCAATAGTTATTGTGCATCACTTTACAAACCCCATGTTTACGAGACCTATCAAAATCGCTGAAATTTTTATTGTTATGTCGACTAAGCTACGGTTCAGCGCCGAGAATTCAGATCATTTACATATTCTGAGAACATTAATTAAATCATGTTAGGCGTGTTGAATTTTGAGTTTTTTTTTTTTCAACTTCAGCGTAAGCTACCTGTTTAGGTTATTTATTTGTTTTTTATTCGTGATTGTATAATATTGAATTATTTGAATCGTAAGCGGAAACAAGTTCAATTGTGTTTATAAAACTGCATTTGCAGTTCCTTAAATTACCCGGAAAGTTACGTTGAGGTAAGTCCGTTGCTTACAGTTCACCAGCAACTTTCCATTCATGGTTGAACTAGTATATAGTTCAACCATGCTTTCCATTCATCGTCGGTGATTATTTATCATATAATTCTACCTTTCTTCCATTGTAGAATGTTTGCCATAGCGAATAGCACAATGAGAGGAATTAGAGTTCGATTAAATTTATCCGAATACTTATTGTAGTTCATCTTGAGACCTAGGATCGTGTAACCTGCTGATCGATTCCAGCAGATTCCTCTGAAGCAGACTACCGAATTCAGTTCCTTTGATTTGTCAAGGGACTGCAGTGCATTGAAATAGAGATTTAAGGAAACGGTATTCTTCGAACTTGATTTGCCATTCGACGAAGCTCCCGTGCTTGATTTATTCGCCCGATTATCGAAGGACTCGTAAACTGCTGAAGTACTGACATCCGTTGACCGCGTCGAGTTGTATTTACTCACAGATTTTACTCTGGAATTATTACGCAATAAGCAACTGCTTTGCTTTCTGTGAGATTACAGGTTGAGCTTTCTTAACTTTTCTAACATTTAGTATATATTGCACACGACTTTTTCTCATACTTGGTTGAGCTAAATAGTTTCCTTCCGCGGTTGGATTCAAACATGGGCTTCAAATAGCAAAGGAGCGTTGCAAAAACTGAAACTTCACTCGGAGCTGAGCAACCGTCAGATTCGTCCGTCGCTGAACTCATGAACTTCAAACTCAAAGTCTTACTAACAGCTTCTCCTAAACGACTTTTTCTCGGATTTACATTTCCCAGAGCCAGCACTGCACAGTTACAAGATCGGTTTTTCTAGCACTTGTCGCATTCGTGATTTCGTTTATTTTAAATGTCATAGTAGATCCACTGCAGCCGCAATCTTGGACGTTAATCACATTATAGTTGCATTTTGACAATGCTTTTCAAAATTTATCCTCCTTCCACTTGTTCTCCTGACCACATTTTTACTGTCAGTTTGTACTTAGGGCTACGCTATTTTCTCCTTGATCAGCTTTCTACCCTTGCATAGATCTTCGCATCCATGCTTGAATTATAGAAATTTTCGCTCCACTCAGTATTATGTTAAATTAGCATTAGTTAAACCATGACCGCTTCAATACTCAGAAGAACTGGAGTTGGCACAAGACGAAGAAAAGGCGGTGTTTTCGTGACTACGAACTTCAGTTTAGCAGCAGGTAAGTTGGTTGCACTTGATGTAGACTTTCGCACTGCTTGTGCTGCTGGTACCAGCAGGTATTTGTTGTACTCTACGTAGTTTTTCGAACTGATTGTGCTGATGGCACCAATGCTGTAATAATATATAATCGTCGCCATGCAAGGAAGGTCATTCACAATCGTCGGTTCCAAACATTTCATATTCTTTTTCATGCTCACCTCCAAACTTTCGAAGAACTTAGTTGGTTTGTGGCTTTTCATGTTTAGATAGATCTTTAATTTCCATCTAAGAAGAACGTGTTCGAATTTCTGACTGTGCTGAAAGTCGAGCTATACACCTCAAGTGGCCTCATAGTATTGTTGATAACGCAGCAGTCATATTTTGAATACTCTTTGAAATTTTTGTATTAAACTGTTTGAAATACTTACATTTGCGGATGCACAATGCTTAACTTCACAGAAAAATGAACTGTTCAATTGTTGAGGATGTTTTATTTCTAAAACTCCGATTCATTGCAGACGTTCAGTTGCAGACGTGCACTCGTGCTGTCGTGCAGTTGCACGGTCAGTATGCTGTTGACTGTCGTGTGTGGAGGGTTGTTGCGTCGAGCGTGATGTGTGCCTTCACTGGGTGTTCCTTTAGTTTTATCTAAATGATCACAACAGGAAAAAAAGTTCTGATTAAAATGTCTACTCTCATTATTGTTCTCGTTCTGACATGATATTTGTTTGTGGCTTCGCGTTCCAAAGTTTTATTTAATATTTATGTGGGGCATCAGTTAAGTGTCAGTCAGTAGATTTAGTAGCAATACTGTATAGAGGTTTTGGCGTTTAAAAAATTGCTACCAAGTTTGTGCTTAATCAAAGAGTCATAAATTTCGCGGTATGGCTTCCTGGAACAGAAGACTGCTGAATTCACACCAAACCTAAGTAGTCTACGGTCCAATGACCTGAAATTTCAACTTGAGTCTCCGAACGTGAAGTGCTCTACATACAAATTCAATAGGTATCCAGCCTTTTCAATATCCAGCCTTTTTTTTGATTGAGCTGAAACGTACTTTTCGATGTTAACAAGCTTTCGAATAGGTCATTTATGAAACTAACAATAAATACTGTTTAATTAAATGTTCAGCAATCAGTTGCATTTAGGTTTCATAGAGGTGGTCATGCTGAAGGTGTACTTATTAAATTTTGATGAACATGGGATGCCAACTGTCGGTAATCGGAAAAATCGAATTCTGATGATGGATGCAATTTGTTACCAAAATTTTCAAATTGTAGCAGTTTTGATTAAAAATCTTATAAAATCCTTGAAAATGAAAGTCTGTTATGATTTCCATGTTGTTTACGATTGCCACGAATGTTTAGACTACGTATTTGAAGCAGCCGCAGTAGGTATCGATTTCCCGTAAAATAGACTGACACTACTGGAATGTTTATTATATTTTTTACAAACTTAGATCCTAAATGCTGCTATGATAATCAGTTCTTCTATATAATCCACGTTAAGCTGGGCTAATCGGAATAAATATGGATTTTGCGAGCGTTTCAAACTAATCTACGTTACTTAATATATAATTCTAGATACTCGTTATGTCGATACTCGATACCTCGTATCTCCGTGCCGTATTGTACGCGTTACGCTGAAATATTCATGAAATTTGCGATTGTCTCGAGTACTCCCCTGTATTAAATTGAGCCAATCTGAATAAAGATTTGGCTAGTTCTTCAGACTGATCAATGGTGTTTATAATTAAAGATAGTTGATACGTCGATTATCAATACCTTTCTACTGTGCTTATAATCCTCAATAGTTTTTACGTCGATTATCAAAACCTTTCTACTGTGTTTATAATTCTCGATAGTTTTTACGTCGATTATCAAAACCTTCCTACTTTGCTTATAATTCTCAATAGCTTCTACGTCGATACCTTAGTTCTCGGTGCCATATCGCACGAGCGTACCGTGAAATATTCACGAAATAAGCAATTGTGTGGAGAACTGCCCTGCTCGAGCTGGCTCTCTGGAGCAATGCACGTGTGATGGTGGACGTCGATAGCAGCAGCCGCTGCAGTCGTGGCTCTGGCGTCGATAGTGCGGTGGCTTGGCGACGGTTGGTGGCAGCAGACTTGCATTCCACACTCCATCGCCACCCCCAACGCTGGCCATAGTACACAGCGTATTTGGTTTTTGATATTTGATTTGACACGATCGTGTAATTGTGATAGATGATTTGCGTGTCCTATTTCCTATCTGAACTCCCTTTAATTATCTCGCAATTTCTCAATTAGATAATTTAAATTTAAATAATCGATTAGGCCTAGCACTGATTTCAGCAATTTATCATTGCATGATGCAGCCCGTATGAATATTACTGCTTCGCGGGGATTCATCTGATTTTGAACAAGATTAGCTGTTGGATAACGGATGCAACTTGTAGAAAAGTAAATTTTTTGCTTCCACTTGCAGTCGAAAATCTATAAAGGACTCTTTAACTAAGAAGGCAGTTTCTGGATTATGAAGAGGCTGAATTGTGTGAAAAAATTATAATCGATAAT